CGTTCGTCTCCTCTATCAAGTCTAGCAGCCTATCAAATCTACTCACTGTTGTGAGTCTCCAGTCTACCGTTACTGGGTCTATTCCAAGTTCAACACCTTTGGGCTCTAGGCTCTTCTTTACCGTCCGATCTAACTAACTTTAGAGCCTACGTATCTGGGCCGTCGATAAGCTGTCGGCTGACTCATTATGAGTCAACGACTTCTAACAAACCCCTTCACAGTGCGTTTGCTCCGATTGCTTGATTAGCGTAATTGCTTACCTTTTCAAGCATTTCAATGAGCCCTACATATAACAATTGCTTGAATTGCACAAATTATCGAAATTGCTCATTTTTTCAAGTGCTCTAATGACCCATTCATACAGCAGTTGCTTAGATTGCTCGAATTAGCGCAATAGCTTATGTTTCAAGGCACCCATGAAGCCCCACACATAGTAGTTGCTTGGATTGCTTGAATTAGCGCAATTGCTTGCATTTCGAGGGCCCCAAAGACCTTCATACAAGTTGTTGCTGGAAGTTTGAGTTAGCTAATTGCTCATGTTTCAAGGCCCCAAGGACCTCCACTGATAGAGCAGTGGATTAAACGTCACTCCCATAGCTTATGTATCATAACCCGTTGGCTGTTGAACCACCTTTTTGACCCGTTACGGAACCCAATTCCACCAGAATCCACCACGGGTCGTTTTAGCGTTCCAGTACGCCGTTGAGACACCGCCAGGTCAGTCCAAAAGTGTGAGGAACCGTAAGCACCGTGCCGAGGCACGAGCTAAGGCACGAGGGAGTCCAGTTGTGGTCCAGAAGGCAGTGGTTTCTGAGCTACGGGGTAGCAAGGCACCAGACACCCACGCATTCAGGTCGGACAGGAAGTTGCGCTGAATGGCATCCCTGACAAATGGGATGAACAAAAGGAAACTCCTGGTCTGTACTTCTGTAGCTCACGGGTCTGGCAGGCTACACCTGCTTGGGGCGCATACACTGTGGACAGGGTAGGTCGCGCTGTTGCGAACGCGACTACTTGGCGCAAATTGCCGTCTGGAATTCACTGGTATCGTCGCGTCATACACACACCGGAGTCAGGAAACTTCGTGGAAGGCGCATTCTACTTTCGAGATGGTAGTTCATCGAGGGTACAACGTGTCTTCAACTGGTCTACACTCGAGCGCATCGTGTATGCTCACGGTCCTGCTTACATTGCAGGCGATGGTGGAGCGGACCTCGGGGCCCTGTACCTGGCGCAGTCAACAGACGCGCCTACAGCTGTTGGGGCCCAGGCTGCAGCCGTCGGACTAGCCGCCGGAGCAACACTGGGGGGCAACGACTCTGTGCCAGTCGACCTCACCTTAGCAGGTAGGGCCGTGGTCACTGAGGTTTAAAAGCCTGCCCCATTTTACGAATATCCTGTCTGGCTTGATGTGCTCCTTCAACTTGGATACTTGGAGGAACTCGAGCAGGGCGTTTTCATGGGGCGCACAGACCGCACCACGTGGACTCTGCACCCGGACTTAAACGACCTGGCACTTAAAGCATACAAGCGCAGAACAAAGAACACAATTTTCAGACGCCTGGTCCAAGACCGGCAGTTGTTCGCTCAAGGAAAGGAGGTGTTCAACGACGCGGTCGTGCATGAGCGCCTTGATACTGACCTCGAACGTGATGCAGCATGGCCGGAGTTGAGGACTTCTGGGTCTGTTCCGATTGTTGCAGCTGGTGGTTTGGCTAATGATGTGATCAATTGTTCCAGCTGATGTTCCGGCTGAGGAGAATTATGAGACTGTCGTAAGTGAGGCGACTGACTCCGAGTTCGGTGACACGCATGTTGCGTCTACTAAGTGTGCTTGGCCCAGTGAGATCTGGCAAGCTCAAGCGAGTGGCACATGGCGCGATGCACTGAATGTCAGGGGCATAGTGACACGTGGGTCAAGGTACGAAGGGTATCAAAACCCACCGCATCTTGAGGCTCTGTTGGATTTGGGAGTGTTGGTTCAAGTCAACGCGGGTGTCTTTCAGCTGGTGCACCGTCCGGAACACCGTATGCCGTTTGAAGTCTTGCTCTATCTGGCCGTCAAGGGTCACGCCAACTGTCACGAGGAGGACTATCTCCAATTCCTGTTGGACAATGAGATGTTGTTTGACTGCACTCTTGACTGGTCGCAGTGTGACCCCACCAGAGAATATGTTCGCAACATGTTCTGGGATGAATACGTGGAGGCTCAAGAGCGACACCGCCAGGGTGTTCCGGTCTCATCTGCTGATTACCACTATGACATGGACGTTGAGGCACTGTTGGAACTTGGTGTTTTGACTGAGGTTGAGAAAGGGTTGTTTTTTTCCGCGTCTAGGTCACGCACGCTGCGTATTGACCCTGCACGAAAGGGCCGTATCGCCCGGCAGATGCACGAAGACGGGTCTGCCACTGCTGTCTTGCGCCACCTTGCAAAATTCGACGTGTTGTTTGCGTGTAGGGATCCTGCTGGCGGTGCCAACATGTGGATGGATCGGAAGTATTACTTCGCTCACCTTGTGCCGGCATCTCTGCTGGGGGGGGGAGCCTCTGTGTCTGAAGCTCGAACGCTTACAGCAGACATGCCGTCAGATGAAACTCGTCGCTCTTGGCGAGATGGTCACCAGGCAGCCCTAAACCTTGCGCCCCGCGCCAGGTATACCTACCCACCCCATCTGTTAGCTTTGCTTGAGCTGGGCTATTTGATGGAAGAGCATAAGGGTATTTTTGAGCGTCAAAACGTCCCCAGCCAACGCTTTGTGCACCCGTTGCGGGGCCAGTTGGCTCGTGAATGTGCCGGTGCTCAGAGACAGTCAGAGGATGAGCTGCTCCAAGAGTTGTTGAACGATGGCGTGTTGTTTGACTGCAAAGGGGACAGCAAGTTCGACCTGTTCTAGGACAACGTGGTAGAATCCTTTTAGAGTGAGCGGCGGGCGCCAGCCCCGCAGAATGCGCTCCAAGTTGCAGAAGTGCCCACTGTGGTGGAGTTTTGTGACGTATCCTCTCTTGGTTTGAGTGCGCTGTTGGGATCGTTGCCTGCTAGCTAGTTTTACCGCGGACAGGGACTTGGAAGTCCACAAAGCCCCAAAGCTGGACAACAGTAACCCCCCCCGGCTTGCTTGTACGATAAACGGCAAGGCGCTTCAGCACCTGGTGGTTGATACGGGGTGCGAAATGATCGTCATGGGCAGGGGAGCGGCCAGGCAAGCAGGAATCAAACCCAGCATGATGCAGAAAGGCGCTGTTGCGCTGCGGTGTGCAGATGAACGGGTCACTGCACCGTTTGACCGATCCTTAGAGCGAATTCCGATTGTGCTTAACCCAGGAACGGCGGGTGAAACCACTGTTGGTGCATATGTGGTTGTCACACCAGGAGACAATGATATTGTTCTACTCGGAATGAGTGTGATCGGAAAGGTCGGACTGACTGCGAATGCCTACAAAGGCAAGATGAAGTACTACAAGGACTGGAGACAAGGGGAACAAATTTTGTGCGGATACCTGTTGTGCTTGAGGTGCTTCACCGTGGCGCACCCCTGTCGTTCAAGATCGCAAAGGAAGCCGTGGTGGTGGATGCGGGTGAGGCAAGCGTCATGCCACAAATGGCCACTCCAGTGTCAAAGCCTGATATGCAGCATGCGAACTTCCAGTACTACACGTACAGGAAGCGGCATCTGGAGGAACTCGATCTGTCCTTTGATGAGTCCGTGATGGCTCTGAGGCAAAAAGAGGCACCCACACCTCCTATAATGCTTGCAGGGTACGCCAACGTTCGGCCGCTTAACCAAGACATTGTGGGCGTCTTTACCGAGTCTGCGGAGTCTGGTTTGGTTGTTGTTTAGTTGTGCGCGGGCATTATGGCGTCTACAGAGGCGCTGATTCGCATGGGAATCAAAATCAAGCAGCTTCACTGCTGCGAGAGCGACCACACAGCTCGGGCGGTTGCGATGGCTAGGTTGAAGACGTTGAGCGGGATCTTCCCCAACCTCTCGGCCGAGTCTGCGTTCGAGAACTGCTTTGGGTTGCTGCCACAGGACGTCAAGCTGATCAATCAAAGTCACATCATTGGGCTGGGACCTCTTGACTTGGTAGTTTGTGGGTTTCCCTGCCAGGGATTCTCGGGGGCGTCGGGGACGGCCAAAGGCCTTCGAGACCCACGCACCGCCGCTTTGTCGACGTGGTTCGGTTGGTACACAGGATCATTCGCCACCAAAGAAACTGTGCGTGGTTGTTTGAGAATGTTGATGCATCAGATCACCCAGACCTCCAGGTGCGCCAGGAGTTCAATGAGGTGGTTAAGGGAGTCCTCGGACAAAGCTGTGCCTTTGATGCTGTTGCAGTGGGTTCGTACGCCCACCGGTACCGTAGGATCTGGACCAACCTGATTCCGACCACCTTGCTTCATGAGATGGTGGATAAACGGTTTGATGCCCGGTCGCCTACTCAGACAGTGCAGGATGTTCTAGGACCAGAGCGGCTGGCCCTCAAGGCGCAGCACAGCAAAGCTCCCGGTCCGCATGCTATCAATGTTGTTGGAGAGCCCTTACGCGCTTTTGCCACCTTCGTCACTTACAGAGGGCCGCACGCCTTCGTTCCAGGTCAGCAGAGCCTCGTGCGGTCCGACCCGCGGGGAGATGATAGAGCCGACTGTAGCGGAGCGCGAGGGGGCGATGGGTTTCATGCGCGGGACAACCGTCAACTCAGCTGCATCCCCAAATGAGGGTGAGCGATTACGGCTTCTTGGTGCCTCCATGGACATGTTCCAGTTGACCTTTCTGTTTGGCTGTGCTTTGGCCTTTCAGCGGTGTCTGCTCTCTAACTGACAATTTCGAGGTCGGTCTGGTAGCGATCAGGCGCGACTAGGGGGCGATGCTTCCTTTCCTCGAAAGGTGTTAGTGTGAGTAGGGAGAACCTGACAACAGCCGTCAGGGACGGTCGCGTAACACGGGTGAGTCGCAGCCCTCAGATTGCAGCTAATTTTCTTGGAGAAAATAAGCGGGAGGGGGGACTGGAATGCGCCTTGAGAAAAATTCAAAACTTTTGAGTGAGAAAGTGACTTCACGGCCTGGTACGGCCAACACAGGGAAGGAGGACAGCCCCGCAGCGGCCAAGGTGGCCCAAGGACGGCCTCCACCCGACCCAGGTGAGAGTTCTGATTCAACTTCACTTCCAAGCAAGGAGGAAAAACCAGACGTAAACTCTGAACCTGCAGGGCCTAAGGAATTGAAGTGGCCAATGAATCCGAATCTCACAGCAGTTCAAAAGGAACACTTGACTGACTTGCTGGATGAGTTTCAAGACGTGTTTGCTCATGATATCACAGAGATTGGAGTCATGGCGGACGAGGTCTTTCGGATTGCACTGACAGACGAGACTCCAATCTTCAAGACTCAGTATAGTGTTAGCTCAAAAAGTTGCTACCATAGAAATCGACTACCGGAGTTCAGACTCAACCAAGTGGTTAGTGATTGTAACCTCGGCGGATCCCCGGCACTAACTTTTGAAGCCAATGTCAGATGAAGTTGTACAGCGTGTCAGAGACCTGATTGGCTCATCAGTAAGTTTCACGTGAAACTCTGCTAGCTAAACTCTTTCACGCGTGCCAAGTGAGTTCCGGAACTAGAATCAGGTCAAAGAGAAGATGACAATCAGACTGTATATAGTGTTCGACTAGAGTCCGATTCTACGGTTTGCTAGGTAAAAATCAGACTTTAAGAGAAGCAAAGAAGAAGGACCCGGGCCTACTTTGAGGGAGAAGCTTTCAAGCAAATAAGCGCTTACAACCAGCTTGTCTTCATGCTCACAGCTATCCATGCCCACAGTGTTCCATGATAGTTGCCTACGCTAGCTTCCGCCGTGTATGAGAGTGAGTTTGCATTGATAGCGCCGCCGCATAGATTGTGTGTACATAGCGTTATGGGGTAGAATAGTGTGTTAGTTGTGTAAAGTGCATACCATGAACACTTTATGTGTTCAGTCATCACTACTTCCTGCGCCGACCGCGAGTGCATAGTCTGTACATCATGCAGTAGACTATGAGTAGTAAGTTTTTTAGGGGAGTGATTTATGAAATAACAATAGGTTGTCTCAGTACGAGAAAGAAATCTTAACTGAGCAGATGGAAGAACGTAAGTCTGTTGGGTTTATCAGAGAATCGACATCTAAGTGGGCGTTTCCTGAAACAATACCTCCTAAAGAAGATGTGCACGGAAACTGGGCGGATAAACGGCCGTGTGTGGACTTTCGGGCTCTGAATAAGGTAACTCCCAAGCACCACTACCCTTTGCCGACACCAGAGGATATTTTTGATGAGCTGGCGGACTCCTATATTTTTACCACTTTGGACTTGCGTATGGGATACCATCAAATCCGCATCGCGGAGGAAGACTGTTCTAAAACGACTTTCTGGTGTCTTGACGGGTTGCATGAGTGGACAGTTGTGCCGTTTGATCTGAAGAATGCGCCACCCTTCTTTCAGCGTGTTATGGACAAAGTGCTGCGTTGAGAACGTTACCGTGCGCGTTGCTTTATTGACGATGTCATTGTCTTTTCCAAGAGCTTTGACGATCACTTGAAGCATCTGAGGGCTGAACTGACGCGTTTGAGGGACAAAAACATCAAGTGTCATCATAAGAAAATGCGCTGTGCAGAACCTGATGTTGAGTATCTTGGCCACAGGGTTGTTCCTGGGGGGACTGCCCCGATGCAGGTCAAGGTGGAGGCCATCGTGATGATGCGATCTCCAACAGAGGTTCCTGAGTTGAGGGCCGTGCTGGGCACTTTCAACTATTACAGGAAGTTCGTTGAACATTACAGCACCATCGCTGCACCGCTGAACAATCTTCTGCGGAACGACGTAGCTTGGGGCTGGTCCGAGGCTTGTCAGCAAGCTTTCGAGACACTAAAGATCAGGTTCACAGAAGCGCCAATTTTGAGACGGCCTGATCACAAACGCCCTTTTGAACTCCATACAGATTGGAGTGGCGTCGGACTGGGCGCGGTGCTCGTTCAGAGGGACGACCAGGGACTCATCACCTATGCCTCGAGGAGCAACAACAAGACGGAGAGGAATTACTCACGCTACCAGGGTGAGTGCCTTGCTGCAGTCTTGAGGGTGTCCTACTTCCGTTCCCACTTGTACGGGCGACACTTTAAGCTGCCGACGGACAACGAGCCGTTGAAGTGGCTTATGACGAACGAGAAACTCATAGGGATGCACGCACGCTGGGCGCATATCCTGTCTGAGTATGACTTCAAAATTGAGCATAGGGCTGGTTTGAAGTCGGAAGATGCAGACGGGCTTTCGCGAAAACCCCCTGCCAGATGAGTCTGATGGAACAGATGCACGCATGGATCACGTGCTTCCTGAGGTTCCTGTCTCCATTTCTGCGGCGCTTGCTTTGTTGGCAGGATTTTATGCAACAGAAGCAGAGCCCGTATTTAGCCAGTTTGGTTTAAAAGTTGGGTAGTGGCCAAGATGTGACGGTCCAGAACGTTACACCAATTGTCCACCCTTCCGAGGGCGTCAGTCTTGCAGGGACTCAGGACTTATAGCTGGTCGTTCACCCGTTTTCTGGCACGGAGAAAGATGGCGACTTACTGATGGCAGCCCCTTAAAGCAACTCCGCTTCTCGTGACATCTGGCATGACCAAGAGACGCTCCACTATCTTAAGGAAGGCAACTACAGTCCGGGACTAAGCGCTTCTGAGAAGGATCGTGTGCAGCACATGTCAAGGGGTTATTACTTATTGAACGAGCTGCTGAGGAAACGCACTTCCCCTGTGCCGCCGACGGAGCAGGGCGCCAACCTGGTGAAGGCAATCCATGTTGACGTCGGGCACTATGGAGTGAGCAAAACTTACTCGTTGTTGTCACCTACGTACTTCTGGGTCAACATGTTTGCAGACGTGCGGGCTGAGGTAGCCAAGCATGTGCACAATATGCGACAGGGTTAAAGCCAGTTTTGAGGTAAAGGACCCAACGCTAAAATCGTTGCCCATCGTGGGAATGTTCCACAGGTGGGGAGTGGATCTGTGTATATAAGATGCCATTCGTTTCCACAGACGGGAATCGATTCGTGGTAATAATGATCGAACACTTTTCGAAGTGGATTGAGCTGGTTCCTATTCCTACAAAAGAGTCAAAGCGTACCGCTGCCGCGCTGCGTGGCGTGCTTACTAGGTATGGGGCTCCAGCCGAAATACTGACTGATCAGGGTGATGAGTTTACTGGCGAGTTCGCAGAGCTGCTTGTACAACTTTTCATTGACCACATAATCACTTCGCGCGACCACCCGCAGGCAGACGGTCTGGCGGAACGGATCGTGCAAGTCTGCAAAGAGGGGCTTCGAAAGTACTGTCTCCAGTCTGACAGACATCATTGGGAACAGATTCTTGTGCTGGATAGCCATGGGCTACCGCATGAGTCGCCAAGCATCCCTGGCAGGGTACTCACCGTACTTCCTGCTCTTTGGCAGGTGGCCCATCGTCGGGGCCCGTGTACGGGACGTGTTGCACACCGTGGTGGATCTAGACTCCCCACAGGTGTGGGCAACCGTCGTTGAGGAGCGCGCCCGACTCTTTAGGGAGGAGATGCCGATAGCCTTCAACAACCTCGCGATAGCGCAACACAGATACATGTTGCGCTATGCGCACAAGAGGTCAGGGGACCACACGCCGAAACTTCGTCGGTTTGCGGCAGGCGACGGGGTGTACTTGAAGCGTCAGAAGGCAGATTCCATGGACCCTAGAGTTGATAGGCTGATTCTGCGTGTAGTTAGTGTCGGCAGTGGCGGCAGTTTAGTCCTCGAGGGGCGTGACAAGAAATAGATTCGAGAGTCTGTAGAGAACTGTGCCCCATGTCGCAGTCCAAACATTGACCTCTGGCAGAATCCCGTGTTAGCGCTGAAAGACTTGGACCAGAAGTGCCAGGTTTGCAGGGATGCAGTGGCCGATTTGAGGAAGATCCGCATGCTCTTGTGCGATAGGTGCAACGAGGGATGGCACATGCGATGCCTCAGACCGCCGTTGACAGTGAAGCCAAAGGGAGATTGGTTCTGCTCAAGGTGTCTGCCTACACCGGACCCTCTTGCTTAGGACCTAGAGACCTGTGACGTTGCTATGACTTTTAATCCGTGATGCTTGTCCACTCCGCAACGATTGAGTTAAGCGACTTGCTGGCTTCGTCGGGACACCTTCGCCGGTATGGGGGGGATACCGCATGGATTACTAGCTAGCATGTACATGTACCTATTTCGATTTTTCACTTATATGCAAAGCTGTTTACAGCAAGTATATTCGACCTTCCGAGGCGATATCCTATTGAGTGCATACGGCCCGACAGCTGTCATGACGTACAGTCTCGGCGTTGTAGCATGTCGATTCCGAGCTCTTGCAATGGATCGAGGCGATATGTAGACACGACAGCCACGTGTGGCGGTTTGCTCGATTGCTTCTTGGCGGTGACGACAACTAGGGGCGACACATTCCGACTACAACTACAACTGCGGCCTACATTACCCTTAGCATTCATTAGTATAATTAGAGCTGTATAATTGGACAACATCCCACTTTTCAGCCTTAATTCGGGATCATCGGACGGTGGCCCGATTGTGGCCCTATTTTCGGCCGTCGATTTGGCTTTCAAGTCGGAATCACCTAAATCCGGGGTTCCGAGAAATATAGCTAATTCGTAGTAAACCGACCCGAGTTCGATACTCGGTGTTAACCATATAAATCGGTAAATCGGTAACGTATTTGTTATTTCAATGCTTGCCCGTGGCTAGCCAATTTAGTACGGGTTAGCAATCGGTTAACAGTATAAACAGTGACACACTTAGTGTCAAATTGTCTTTGTGTAACTGGTTGGATAATGACTACCCAAGTAGCATGCCTAGCTATAAAGCAGCTCCCAACCAACTCTTAGACATCTACTTGCAAGTGACCTTGAAGGAGAGAAGGAGAGGAAGGAGCCGCTTCATTCGGAAGGGCTGCTAATTGAAGTGAAGGTATTGTCTCCGTGCTTCTCATGTATTCTCATTGATACATGTGGTTTCTCAGCATGATACTATAGATCATTCTCCCGTGACCTTGTCTTAAAGCATTGCGTCCGTGCAAATGCATGTCTTGAGAGACCGCCCCGGTAGCCACGAGCCCGGGAGGCTTTCTCCTACGATGATAC